CCCACCAAAAATAATTTCTCGCCAGAATCTGAAGTTGCAACTTTGTACGTCTTTTTTTAATAAAGGTTTTTCAATTTCTTTCCACGTCGTTTCATTTACGGTTTAAATGTCATTGCCGATATCTAGTAATATTTTTACTCCACCCTTTATTGATTTGTATGTTGTTTCAGGTGAGTATTTCTTCCGTCGCAATATTGTGTATTAATTTCTTCCTGCGAAATTTATTTTCTGGCTTTCGTTCTGCAGGGTGATTTGATATGTCTATTTTTTTAACACAATTATAATGCTCTGCATTTTTCCATGGACAGTCTTTCCTAAGATGTAATTTTCCACATCTGAAACAATGTTTTATATTCCTTTTTGTGAATTTTTTCCTTAGCTTTTACCAACACACATTCTTTATTCTGAAGTTTTTCAATATCAATCGTCTGACTTAGCATTGTTTGGTAATCGTCCACTATTTCCTGTAGTGTTATACGTTATTATTATGTTCATTATTATTATGTTAAAATTTTGTTAAAACTTTTTTGTTTTTCCTGCTGTTAGATCTTTTCCGAAAAAAGTTAACCTTGAACATAAAAAAATTTCCTTTAGTTTAAATTGTTCACATTCTTTGTTGATAGTACCAGCATACGTGACAAAATTTTCACTTTTTTTTTTTTTTTTGTTTAAATTCATGCACCTCCAATGAGCATGGAACAGAGAGCACATGCCACTAAAAATTTTCTTCAGAATATGTAGTTTGTCTTCAAACCCTATTTCACCTGGTTCTCTCGGTAAAATAGAATTGCAGTATTTTTCGTAGTCTATTGGCGCTATTTTTCTTAACAACAACCTGTTTTTGTATCTTCATTCTAGCCACTGCATTCCTGACTAAATATTTCTTCCTGTCTGCAAAAATACGCAGCAAACCTCAGTCCGTCATCAGGATTGTATATGAATTCTGATACGGTGTGTTTCACCGCGTCTAGCGCAAGAGATGTTGAAGCATTTTTTTTCTGTAAAACCACTTCTAACAATTCTTGTTGTTTTGTAAATGTAGCGATTGTTGGTATTTTATTCTTGTTGCTACTGTTTTTGTTGTTGTGTAATTTTAACTATTAAAGACACTTCTCCATATTTGCAAGAATATATTTTTTCGAAAATAACGACCATTATTATAATCATTTTTAAAAAATGTGGTTAAAATTCATTTGATTTCAAGTTCCTACGCCAACTATTATGACTTCAGTTATAATGTTCCGTTTGATTTATACATTCTCGTCGCCAACTATTTTAACTTCTTTTTGTAAGGTTTATTGTTATAACACACACTCGTAATTGGTATAACTTAATTCGTGTACCTATTCTCTATACGTAATTTCGAGGCTAATGTTTAATGTTACATGATAGTTAAAATGAAGACTGACTCCAATACGACGTCTGTTTATACCGGTCGCAACATGCCCCAGGCAGTTTTATGTGGGGGACCCGAGTTTTTCAGTGGGGTTACTGGTCAAATTTACCCAAAACCCTCGAGACTTTTATAAAGACTCATCTTTGTCGATCAGATCACAACCTATCCGAATATTGAGTTCGTTGGGAATACCTTAGCCATGGCAGCGCACTGTTCTGAAAATCTGGAATGACTAGTATTTTACCATTTGATTGAGGCGAGATGCGACCCAGGGACAAGTTTATTGTGGGAAAGACAAACTGATAATGTTTTAAACATAACATAGAACTTTTTATAATATTTGCTTGTCTATAGATTTTACTGGGGAAAACAATCAACAACATTCAGATAATAGAAACAAAGATAAATAGATAGACAAATAACATAATGACTTGGTCGTGAAAGAGGCCTCATTTATGTATAAAATATGTTTTAAATCTGTTGTATTTCTGAGATGGTATTATATAATATTCTCACTATTCGGACTATTGTCCTCATCTTTATTGCCATATTTATGACAACGTTTCACACACCCTTCAACATCTGTCTATACACACACAGATGAATATATATTTGTACACTAGAAAACATTTTTCGGACTATTGTCCACATCTTTGTTTCCATATTTATTAATGTAGAATCTCCTGCCCTTCATGAAATTGTCTATATTTCTGTGATGACATATTATGTAAACTATTTACATTATTCGGACTATCATTATATGTTTAAGGCTTAAGAACAAAAGAAAGATGTAATGATGGGTTGGAAGAATCATGTTGGCTGAAACAATTGGATGAAAAGATAATATCAGTTCAATCTGTGGGACCAGATTGTACAATTAGTAACAAGGAACATCCATTGGAAAATTCTGCCATGGAAAGAATCAGCACATATGCTAGTTGTTGACAACTTTTCCTGAGGGATTGCATCAGGGTTAAATACAATATGGGAACCAGTAACTTGAGCGTTATTATCCTTTAACGATAATACGTTTTTTTTTAAACTAGAAAGAGCTTTTTTTTTTTTTTTTCTTGAAAACAGCAAAAATGAGGCAATTTGAGCACTTCCTTAAAATGGTTTTTAAAAATTAGGGTTTATCTTTTCAACGGAAATTCATACACAGATCCACTTCATGGACACATGCAATCATGAAGATCTCTTTAGGATGCAGTGAGAAGACCCAAAGGATTTGGGTTCGAAACCATGTTAGGCAGTCAAAGTATGCAGGGTGGAATATGACAGAAGATAACTCCATATTCCTGAAATCAATATAAATATCCGTTTGAATTTTAGAAAAAGAAACGCAGAACATTCTATGTTTTGAAATAAAGGGTTCATTTCGACATTCCAACCACCTGAAGAATTTCCAGTTGCGTACAAGGAAGAACTTCTTTTAATAAATTGGCGACAAAGATCACTGACATAATGGAGTTAATTGATATTATGTTTGTCTTCGACACTTTTTTTTGTTCGCGCTAAGGAAATTTTCTGGAAAAAAACTACCTTCAGCAGAACAACTTTCACTATCTAGGTGATTTTCACCTTCCCAATAATTTGAGCAAACTGACATGGAACACACGACACAAATTGTTTTTCTTTTTTGATTTATATATAATATTTATAATATATATATATGAATGTTTTTATATTTCAATTTATCTATTCTCCCTGATTATATCAGAACCTGCCAACCTTTTTTGGATACAAAATAAATTTAATGTAGTAGTTCATTTAGTTTCTGTTTGCTACCTATATGAACCATATATATATATATATATAGTGTTACTGATAGATAATATTATTATAAAATATACATACATATTAAAAAATATATATCTCAACTGTTTTCCATACATGGTATATTTTTTTAAAAAATTTTGAAGAGGAAGGATGTTTGGTAAAGCTCAACCCTGTTTTTATTACAAGGTGAAGATATAATTTTGGCTGGGAGGCCATCAACAGTATGAATTTATTAAATTGGTGATCAGTAAATATTATGACCACGTATTTTGGGACTGATGAATATCTTTGTATTTGGAGATTCCATTGTGGAAAAACAGTTCATGGAATATTAGTAAGTTAACTGCCATTTACACGATATATATATATATATATATATATATATATATATATATATATATATATTTAATTATTCTATTTGATAACGATTTGGTTACTAAGTTTCCTTGAACGAATTATTAAAATAAACCACTCTAAACTCTGACCATTTATGCCATGATTTTACGTCGCAACAATTCTTTAAATCAATAAACTTACAACTACCCGTTAAATCAGTGAATTCTTTCTATTTGAATTTTCATTTCATTTTTATACGTGATTTTTTCCATGTTATCAACAACTTCCTCGTCTAAAAAAGGGACATTTGAAATAAATTATTTTAATGGAACCTTAAAGTGATGTGTTTTCTTTAATATATAAATATTTATTATATATATATATATATATATATATATGAGCCCACTTTTATTGAAAAAAAAAAAATTCGAAGGACAGATTTAAATAGAAGTTTAACCCGCATAGGCTAAAACGGAAAAATGTTAGACAGGTTGGCCAAAAACTATATAAAAGATTAATTTAATGATTTTCTGGACCGTTTGGGTTTTGGGGAATGAAAGAAAGTTTGTTTCAAAAGAACATAAAACCATATATATATATATATATATATATATATATATATATATATAAATATATATATATATAATTCAAAACATTGCCCAATGCAAATGAATGAATAAATATTGATAAAATTTGAACTTAATTAAAATATTTTTTATTTTAACTCAGTATATGTTTCAAAAACATAAGCATTAAAACTTCAAATTCAATTATAGAATTAAATTAATTTAAAGTCTCTGAGGATGTTGCATTTGGACAGTTTTTGAATTTTGAAATAACAATTTTGAAAATTATAGAGTTTTAGAAAGGCATATATTCATAATATTATTTTCTAAGGATATGGGGAAATCCAATCATTTTAAAAGTTGTGGTAGGGTATTCTTGATAAATGGACAACTATTGTCTCAACATATTAGTTACTTTGAAAATTGAACACTCAAGGTGAATCAAACAGCAGAAGTCAGTAATCAAATTAACACAGAAAAAAGATGTATCGAAAGGCATGATGGAGTAAATGGATATCGGCATGGATTAAGGAACTGAGCCAAGTTTTAATAGATAGAATCCATTACATTTGTGATATGTGCTAATACCCTTGGGAAAGTTATGAATCCTCGTCTTCTCCCTCCAGCTATGGGTAAATAGCAGGACGGACCGGGTTTTATAGACTTGGATGGCAACTGGTCTACCACAGAAAGAAATGGCAACCTACTGCAGGAAAAAATCTGCCTCGTCAGTCATGTATCGAAAGATACATGATCGCCTAAGTGTGTATCTCGTATGGCATATAACTGATAGATAGATAATGAACTGTGATACGTGCTAATACCCTTTTAAATGTTATCAGTCCTCCTCTTCCCAGCTGTGGGTAAATAGCAGGACAGACCGGGTTCTATAGCCTTGGATGGTCTAAGCGTGTATCCTATACGACACATAAATGACTGATAGATAGATAGATAGATAGATAGATAGATAGATAGATAGATAGATAGATAATGAACTGTGATACGTCCTAATACTCTTGGGAAAGATATGAATCCTCTTCTTCTCCCCCAGCTATGGATAAATAGCAGGACAGACTGGATTCTAGATCCATGGATGGCAACTAATCTACCACAGAAAGAAATGACAACCTACTGCGAGAAAAAAATCTGCTTCGTCATTCATGTATCGAATGATACATGATCGCCTAAGCGTGTATCACGTATGGCACATAACTGACTGACTGACTGATAGATAGATAGATAGATAGATAGATAGATCGATAGATAATGAACTGTGATACGTGCTAATACCTTTCGGAATTGTATAAATCCTCTTCTTCTCCCCCCCCCAGTTCTGGATAAATAGCAGGACAAACCGTTTTTAGTTCACTTGAGACAAGTAATTTCCTGATAAACTCTTTAAATAAAACGCTTTTATCAATTTCAACAGAAATTACCAGTAACCATTCAGTCAATTAATGCTGAGGTTTACTGTATGGAAACCGTTGTTATCACCAATATATTCCCTCTCTTCTGTTGCAGCAAATATTTTGTCGGCAAAGTGTTAAAATATTGCTGACGCATTTTTCACTCCCATATATTCAAACAGTTCGAAAGGTGCAGTTACTGCCATCTTAGTCACAACACCAGAATGTACTTTTATTTGCCGATTAACTAAATCTATTTTTGATTAAAAACAGCGTTTGTTGGCAACTTTAGAGATAAATAAACTGATATTTGGTATAAGATAGCGATCAGTTTTTGTAATACTATCGAGAGAGCGCTAATCACCCCGGCATCGCTAATTACCGTGAGATTTTGAATCAAGATAGAAGAGACTTTGGTATTGACTTTTAGAAGGGGAGATCACTCTCACGTTTATTGCCTGTTTTATGGGCTGTAAATGTTCCTACTAAAATCTGTCTCCTTTTTAGCAAAAATTGGATCTTGGCTTCCCGCATATCGCTACAATATTTCTTCATTTAATCTTACAAGTTTTATTATTATTTCCTATTTTTTATTTTCTTTGATTTCTGGCGTTTACACATTTCTTTCCGGGTCCCGCCTAGGGACCTAAGGTTAGAAATGGCATCATGACAAAAAAAAAAAAAAATACATAGATAAAGCCCTTCGTAAAGTGTGGGCTGTACTTGTCAGAACAATTTTTTTATCTCCTTGAGGCATGGACTTCCAGGAATCCCTTCTACTGCAATCTTTTCCAACCAGTCCTAGAGCTCCAACTACAACAGGGATTGTTGATGTTCCTATATGCCACATTTTCGAGATTTCTATTTCAAGGTCCTTGTATTCTGACAGCTTTTTGAATATCTTCAAAGATACATTGCAATCAGCAGGGACTGCCATATCAATAAAGATGCACTTTTTGTTTGTGGTCTTTAATAACAATATCCGAGCGGTTGGCTTTGATTGTTCTATCAGTGTGTATTGTGCAGTCCCATAGAATTGTAACAGGACATATCTCCGTAACCAGGTCTGGGTGGTGTTCATACCAATTTCTTTCAGTTTCCTTCCCGTAGAAGTTGCAGATTTTCCAGTGCAGATATTGGACCAATCTGTCATGCCGGGTTTTATATTCAGTGGGTGCCAATATCGTGCGACCTGATACAAGATGATCAATCGTTTAGGAATTCCTTCTGGTCATCTGTTAACTTGTGACTGGATATGTTCATATTTATCACTGTTGTTGGGAAGTAGAAATTTCATGATATAAATTGAAAAGCTTTTTCATAATTATTTATTTGTGTTTGTTCGTTATCATTAATACTTGATAGGATATTGTGCTTCATTATATTCGGCTTCGGTCAAGGTGTTTTTATTTTCGCATTATGTTTTTGGATTTCATTATTTAAATGTTGAATTTCATTTTAGCTGTTGTTATCTGTTATATTCAGTTAAAAGTAAAATATATCGTCTTTCATAATGGCTAAAAGATTCGAATAATTTCTTGCATAATTTATGTCCCAAAAGAAGAAAAATTATAAGAACACAAGAAAATTAAATAAAAAATTTAACCGCAGCACCTTGTCAGTCGTTTTTCATTTATATATATATATATATATATATATATATATATATATATATATATATATATATATATATTATAAATGAAGACATCCTTTACATAACTGATTTAAATATCGATAACGAAATCAAAATTAATAAGTCAAATGCTAATGTTAACAATATGTCAAGTGTGTTTGTAACTTTATCAACTTAAAAATTATTCATCCATTCTTTATTACAGATTATAGTTTGTTGCCTTCATAAACATAGTAAATATCAATTCAACCCAACTTTATTACATAGTCGTTCATCTCCCTTTACATTAAGAGAGAGAAGTTGTGGGAAAAATATTGTCAGTTCCAGATTCTCATCAGTTTCATTATTGCATATTGATTCAAATTACCTCTCCGGCCAAAGTAAAACAACTTTTTTTTAATATATCACCAACAGAGTTTAAAATAATATCACATATATTAGTGAATTAAGACCATATTAATATCACATGTGGTGGTGAATTAAGACCACACGAAGACCAAGGAATTTGCTTCCTTTCAATTGTACTGTAACGGTAAAAACATTTTCACATTTATATCTGAAAATAAAGGAGTCTGAAGAAGTTTATCTGGGTGAAAAACAAAAGAACCAAAACTCCAGTCTCATTCTTCCTTTATTTTCGAAACCAAAAGCTTGATAAATAAAAGCGCGCAGACATTTTAATATATCATATACAGCTGATCAATTCTTTTATTTACGGATTAATTGTGAATTAATTATTATTCGTCAATAATAAGTTTATTTGATATTATAATGCATATTATTATTACGCTGAATTCAAAATAAATAAGAGATTTGTATTCTAAATGGAAATCAACTTTCTCTTAATTTAGCTATTGGGTGTTATCCTCATCTTCGTACCATATTCACAACGTTGGCCTTATCTGGCGGGGAAACCCCCTGGGGACCCTTTATTTCGTCCACCAGTGTTGTTCCAGTTCCAGTGCCATACCCCCAGTTATCTCAGTGTTCTGCCCTTTAGTAACTCCTTTTGTGAGGTTTTAACTCGCCCCTTTGGATCTGCATTGGATTCAACCCAACCCTTTTTTCCTCTGTCCATGTGTCTGGAGGGATCGATGCGAAAATTTAAAAACCTGAAAAAGAACGGAATTTACAACTGTCGAAACGTGTAA